GGATCCTGGGTTTTATCTCTTGAGGATGAACAGATTTGTTTACAACTTATTACTGCCCATAGGAGCTCTGCATAGGGGTCGTAGCCAGTTAGGAGGAACCAAAAAGTAGTTAGGTATGGATGATAGATGTGCCTTATCCTCAGGGCTGTTTCTGTGGAAGTGGTACCGTCTTATTTGACAGTTCCGTCCTTTGTGGACTAATTGGCTGACTGATCCAAAATAAGCTCTTTCTCTGTTAGTCCTGAAGGATCATCAAAGTGGAGGAGGAAGGAAGTGGCTAATGGTGGGGCCGGTAAGCAAGCCTGGTATTGACTGGTTGGGAGTGTTACTTGGCCTCCAGGTTCTTTGTTGTTGGGGATGGGTGACCAAAATTAGCAGACCAATCGGCCCAAGCATGGAAGCGTTCAGAAAGCTGATGAAGTTCCCCAAACTGAGCTCTGAACATCTTTGAGAAGACCCAAACCTGTTAATGAGCAGATCCTTGCACAAGACTGTCACAGCAAGATGTCTCGCACGACGGTTTGCCACACTAAGCTATACTCACTAACTTCAGGCTTGGCAGCTGCAAGCTAGGAATGGAGCTGAGAGTAAAAAGTAAAAAACCAAGTGCAAGCCAAGAGAGGGGGGACTGTGTAGCCCGTATGAGAGCAGAGAGCTTGAGACAGACACTTTCTACCTCAGTGCCCTGAATTCATGTCAGACTATAGACAGCAGGAAAAACTGCTTGGCACAGTGAGGTGCAAAGGCACCACTGGGATTTAGAATAGTCTGTGGTTAGACTGGTGATAAAAGTGAGTCCTAAGGTATAATGTGATCGGGTAACTATCCTGAGTCCTTCACCTGGCTAAAGGATTCTGCACGTTCGATGGTTCGTGGAATACTTATTGATTTTCTAATGTGGGCTTTGGTCAAAGTCTTGAGTTCTGTGCTTCAGAAGGGCAAATCCAGTTAGGCTCTGTGCTCGGTTTACATTTGGGGAAATGGAAGTCAGGGAGACAGCATTCACGTGCATAAGCCCCTGGGTCTGGCTGGAGGCAGACAGTGAATGGGAGAGTCCATACTGCCCTTTGCTGAGAACGTCTTCTGGGAGCAGAGCCGTGCTGCAGAACGTCTCTGTGGTGCTCTGTGTGTGTAGAAAGCATAAAATGTCTTTAAATCCCTCTGGGACACCTCATCAATTCTGCAGCAGCAATTTCCTTTGAGGTCACTCAGTGCAGCCTGCTGTTTTCCTTTGAACAACAGAAAATTGCTATTTGCCCGAAAAGGAAAGATTTTAATCTGGGCTTATGTGAAAGACAGTACTACTGTAAAAACTAGGCTAACTTGGTATGTGTAATTATCTGGATAATTCTGTTCTTATTCAACTGTCTGCAGATTGGAGCAGTTTCTTGTTTGCCGGTGAAGATGCATGATAATCCCATCCTGCTCACCTGAGAGATAGTACGCTTAGCTCTTCTGTAGACATTTGCACAGGATTTTTCGCTCTTTGGAGAGGTGGGTGGGATTCCCCACCACCAAAGAGTTCTCACCTCTAGGACATTGCTAGTAAGCTCTGGGGCTGGGGCAGCGATCTGAGGATACCCCACTGATGTGGGAACTCGGTGGTGGCTTTGCTATTGCCTGCATCTATTCCTTCCTGGCTTTCAGTCAGCTGTTATTTGACACAGGCAGAAATATCTTAATTCTCTTCCTCATGCTGGGTGTGATACAGGTCTCTGCTGTCAATAGCTGTACCTGCAGTGGTACAGCATGAAGTGCCGTAGTTTCCTGTAGCATTGCAATGGCCCTAACTCATGAAATTACTCTTGGTTACCTTTTGAAATCTGCTGTTTTGTCTCAATGCTTCAGCTCTTGAGAGCATGCCTAAGCACTTTCTTTTTGATTCTTTCCTGATGTGAGTATTTAGCCATCTCTCAGCTCATTAGCATATTTTCTGACTTGCTTTAATAAATTGCTGTGGGAACAGAGACACTTTCTTGCGAACTATTGTTATTTTTTGCCTGTCATATACAGAAGGTATTAGAGGCTGGTATTTCCGTAGCAGGAAGTGACTCCGTGCTGAAGGCGCCAGTCTTTCTGCGATTTAACTACTGTAACTGTTTAAAATTTTTTTTTAGTGCTTTAGGGATTCTCCGAGGCTGATGTAGCCATATGTGTTGGCGAAGAGCACCCTTTGTATAAAGTGACTTTTACAATGCATCTAGAATACAGTTGTCACACTTTTTGCAACAAATTTTGCAAGTTTGCAAATGTTTGATGTGCAGGTAAAACTGTAGAAGGAACCTTTTGTCCTTGCTCCAGGCAGGGAAAAAGCATCTCTATGTGGATGCTATTGCTTCCTCTCCTGGTTCCCCTAGGAGAGCCTGATGTCTGAGATAGCAGTGATTGGGTAAGAGGGCCTTAACATGTATGGGTTTGCTGTTGCCAGGATCTTGAGTGAATGCTAGATTTTTTTTTTTTTTTTAAACGATCTTCTGCAGCAGAAGGGGCTGGGAGGTTAGTTACCTGACTTTCTTCAGCGTTTCCAAGATGCCAGAAGCACAGCCCAACCTTAAATCTGTGATCCCCACTGGTGTGGGAGAGGTGCTGCCTAAGGGAGAAAAGCCAAGAAGGATGCTTCCAGATTTGCCGGAAGTCCAAAAATTCTTGACACTGGTTGTTTTACTGAGGAGATACAGTCTTAAATGGTCGGAGGCTGGCGAAAGCCCACCTATGCTTTTATTGATGGGGAAGTAGAAGCAACTTGCACATGAACCAAAACTTACATGTGCTCACTTCAGAACTGCCAGTTTGGCCATTCACCCTCCTTCGCGGTGCTCTGCAGCGGTAAGAGAAATGGGGAAGGATCCTCATCCCCGGCCCAGCTTTGTATTTGTCTGCAAGGGGCTTCTCAAATCATTCCCTGCGCCAGGCTTCATACTGCTGAGTTCTGACTTGCTCACCAGTAAGTTTGGATAAGTAGTTGGTTGGACGCTCTGGCAGCCTGCCGGGAGGCAGATGGCCACATCTAAATTGCACAAGGCAGAGGACAGCAGCTTTCATCCTAGACAAGAGTCACCTCTGGGTTTCCATGTTTTCAACAACAACAGACCATGCATGTTATAAAAGATCTTGACTTTAAAATATGGGCAGATTGGATCCCAGGACCAGTAGTTCTAGAGGGTCCGACTTCCAGGTCGTAGATCAGGAAAGGATACGTCACTGAGGATACCAGTGACCTTAACTGCTAGTAGAGAAAATGTTTGAAATATTAAATGGCACACTGAGATGCATCTAAAATATGTACACACAGACACACACACAATATACATTTTATATTTATACATAAATATACATATATTCACATACATATATTCATATATATATATATATATTCATTTCATATATACAGACAAGGACTGCCTTGCCCCGTGATGGTAGGGACAAAACGAGACTGAATCTGGCCTCAGGTTAAAAGTTCTAGTTGGGTTGGAAGGTGTTTTGGACACTGGGAATTTGCCCCCCTTTCAACTGGGTAAAATCTAGCGAGAAAAAGCTTTCACCCTGATTAATAGGAGCGATCTTCAGCAATCTGTCTCATCAGACCCCAAGACATTAGGACTGTGCTGGGGGATTTGAGGGTGCTGGTGTGCAGCTTATCTGCAGCTAGCACTAATCAGTTTTAATATGTAACAGAATCCAGACTCTGCTATCCTTTTTAGACTATTGATTGGAGTATGTAATCTGAACTCAGCACACTACTTAGTGCTTTTAAGTTACCCCAAGGACTTTGGATCAAGTCAGATAATAAAATTGAGGATGTGGGCTGAGTGGTGTCTGATTCAGCTTTTGGCCATGTGCTACGTGCAGCGCCACTGCGAATAGTCTCCTTTGCTGGCCTTCAAGGCGTTATGGAGCAGCAGTGCCTGTGCTATTCTGGGCAAATGGAGGAGAGTCAGCTCCCAGATTTTTTTTTTTTTTCTGTAAACTGCTGTGAAATCTTTGCAGAGTTTAGCTGGAAGTCTGCACTAGCCCCTATGTCTGCAGCACAGTTGCAGACCAGCTGCTGTGACACTGCTGGACCCTGGAAGGGTCTGTTTTCAGAAGCATTGCCGTAGAGTTTGGATGTGCTGTTTTTACTGACAAATATTTAAATAGCTTTCAGAGAGAAAATGCTGTAAGTGTTCTTAGCGCATCAAACAATAAAAACCTGATAGGTATGTTTTGGCTGTGAGACTTACAGGGTAGGAAATACTAACTATATACTTAATTACTGAATTTTGGACTCTAGAGTTAATCAACTGATTGTGTGGAGGGGGTTGTTTGTTTTGTTTCTGGTTTTTGTTTGTTTTGTTTCTGGTTTTTGTTTGTTTTGTTTCTGGTTTTTGTTTGTTTTTTGTTTTTAATAAGGTAGTCCTGATTTCTGACCTTTGGCTGCAGGGGAAGGGCTGAAAAATTGAGGGGGAGCTTTGGTTTACTCAGCCCCGCTCCCCCCACTTCCCCAAACCCCCGTAGATGATCTTCGTGCCCCAGGGTTCGCTCTCGACTGTCAGGTTGCTTTGGGGGAAGGCTGTGGTTGTGGCCGACAGACCCCGTTTCCTGCAGGTCCTCTCGTAAGGCCCTGAAGGGAGGGCGTCCTGTCCCCGTGGCTGCTGCTGGGAGGCGCTCTCAGACCTGCCTCAGAGCTGTGCTGATGTCAAGAAATGTTCTAATTCCCAGCCTAATTGCTCGGGGCCAGTTATTATCCCTTGTTCACATGCCAAATTGCCCTTTAGCTTAAGTGGCTTCCCCTTTGTTGGTGTCTGCCCCTCAGATGTGGGTACAAAGCAGGTGGATCTCCGCTCAGCCCTTGCTTGGGCGGCTTAGGCAGGCGAAGTGCGCGAGCCCTCGCGGGGTAGGGGGTCCTGGGGGCTTTCTGCAGCCTCACAGCAGCAGAGGGCTGAGAGGAGCTGCAAAGGTCTCCTCCGTCCCCGTGGCCTGGGGCAAGGTTAAACAAACTGAAGGCGCTCCCCTACGTGCAGGTTAAAGGAGCTGCAGATCTTCCCTTTCCTCACCCAAATATTGCCGGAGTGGGAATGGCACCACGTCCCTCTGGTAACCGTCTTGTGCCGGAGATGCCTGCTGGGACGCCGGTCGGAGCACGCGGGAGCTGCCGCCGCGGGTGGCTCGTGGCAGCGTTTCTTAGGGCAGAAGGCCTCGCGTGCCGCTGCGGCGAAGACGTGTCCGGCTGCTCCCCCGCTGCCTGCCCAGTATGGGTGGTGGTGTTAAAACACGTTTTGGAGCCCGGAACATGTTTACAGTCGTCTTAGGGGTGATGGTTTCCTTTTTTATTGCTTTCTCATCAACTCCCAACTTCTCTTTCCCAAATGCTACTTTTTAGACTGAAACTTCCTGACTTTTGTCTCTGGCCCTGCAAGGGGGTGAGGTTTTTTGTTGTTAAAGGACTTCCAAGAGTCTCATAAAAATGCAGATTTTGGTTTCGGAAAAGCTCTCAGCTTTCAGAAACTCAGTCCAGATTGCCAGTCCTGGAGGAGAGCAAGTGTGCAAGGTACCTTGGGCACAGTTCATTTTCCTCATGTAGAAGTTGTGCAGCGACCAAAAACTACCGCAGATAATGGCTCTTGAAGTTGGATGTGATCGATCCATGGCACGGTAAACTGTGAGGGACATGGCTCAAGTCTCCAGGAAATTTTAACCTGGTGATAGCAGTGGCCTTTAAGGATGCTCTTTCTAAGGGATTGCAAACATTGCACCGAGGAGCCGCTTTATATGTAGGTGTTTGCACATACGCGTACTGCCTGAGGAGGCCAGGTACCAGTATCGGCAACCCCTGGTCAGCACGAGCTCTGGTCCTTTGTACTTCCCTGGTTTTTAAGTATTGGAAAATAATGGAATCAAAATATAAATTGTCAGTATTAGAAGATCCATACGCACATATACGTGCTATTATATAATACAAATATACAGAATAAAAGATGTGTGTATTTAAAAAAAAATTAGTATCTGAATGGATGGGGTCTCCGATGTGTGGTGGCGTTAGGGCACTGAGAGTCGCAAGGAAGGTGGAGTTTGTGATAAAAATCTGACTCTAAATTTTCCTGGTTGCTTTGCCATTTTAAACTCCGGTTTTGGAGCGCTGGTGGAGGGTTGCCTTTCTCACCAAGGTGTATGCAGGCAGCAAACTCGGTCCGGGAGCAAACAAGAGCCGGGGAGTTCAGGTGCAAGTCCGGCACCGTAACAAGCCCCAGAAACGGGCACCTCCGG